TTTTGATGGGCTTTCGAATGGTGTATGAATTATTTGTGTTGTTATTACAAGTGTTGCTGTGACCCCCTAGGAAAAGGTTATGCCCCGCCCTGTACACGTTGAAATTCAGGTAGTGAATTTTCAAGGCAGATCTTAAACTTACTTGACAGACTTAATCGCATGGAAGACGTCCAACATTTTCTCTACAATTAACAGCCTGAGATTATCAAAACGCTGAATGGCTTCACGAACAAACTCCAATACATCTGCAGCTGCCGCTTCATTGTAATCACTTAAAAACTCCATCAACTAGGAGAGTGAGTATGAACATGAGTATTACAAAATTTGGAACAAACCACTCACTGTCTAATACCAGATACAGAAAGATGGTACCCGACTAGGTGTGCCAGCAACAACCCCCCACCTTCCACCATTAAATTAAACACTACTAAAATCTTAAGAATTTGGTAAAATTTGGAGATTTAATACGACTGACTCATATCTTTGCCTGGATAATTATGGACAACCATGGGATGACATAAAAGATTAACTTTAGGCAAATACAAGGTTAAAAATGGGAATGACTGCCAGTTTAAAAGCATTTGTGTTCAACTGCTTTTGACATGACAATTTACACTGACAAAAGGCATTTGGGTGCAACTTATTAACACCATAGTACATTCAACTAATAACTCAGAGATCTCTTAACATGTAGATCAGGAATGCAGAATGGAAGGTCTTCAGCTTAGTAAAAGATGTGTTATCTTAAATGATAGCTGTGGCACAGTTCACTTTTTAATTAATATAACATATGTGAAATAGATTTGTCTGGAATGTTGTTCATGACCCAGTAAAGCTAAATTATGAACACTTAAATGAAAGTGACTTATCTCTGTAAACAGAAAATTCTTAATACAATTCTATAAAAAGAAATTGTATGTGTGTGAGAGAGGGGGGAGGGAGAGAGGGAGGGAGAGAGAGAGAAAGAGAGGAAGAGGGAGGGAGGGAGAGAACAGCCTTGCCAATAGGCTGACCTATAAAGTATTCAATCTCATTTTAATCTACTCCAGAGGGTAGATTTGGAAAGTATATTGATTCTACCATGAATCCACCAAACTGATTGTTAACAACATTGTAACCTCGGTCCTTTAAAATCCAGCTCAGAAAAATGAATACAGAATTTTCCTAACCCCACTGAAAGTAAATGGGAATGGAATAAGAGTTAAGATTGAGTTGGAAATAACTCTGGACCCAGAACCTAGATTGCCTGCTTTTGGGCAGCTAAATTAGGTTAAAGTCAAAAGGTCATTGTTCTCCACTATTTTCAATGAAATTAAAACATATGTTTACAAATATCTACAAATTAAATTAACCAATTAAACCAATCCTGGGGCTGGATGAAGCAAGCACCAGGCATTGGGTAGTGACTATTCATTACTTCTCAAATAAGTTAGAAGTATCTCAAAGATAAACAGTTAATTAAGGAAGGAATGTATAGGAGACCTGAATTAGAGATGAATAATGATTTTGTCCAAAGTTAAGCTGATATCAGCGTACTAACAATAACATGTATTGCAGAGCAATGAAAACAAAGTTGATTTACATACCACAGGAATGACGTTGGCAGCCATGTCTGGGAACCGAACACTACAAGAATGTAAAGTCCGAACAAGCAACTGTCTGTATTTATCAGTGTCTTCATGCTCAGTCACATTATTTGTTTTAATGACTTCTTTCTTCAAAACAATCACCAACTAGTGACAAAATAATACTATTAATTATGTATTATATAATTCTGCACAATGTTAATTTTACAGTAAAATAAGAATCTATATATTTCCAAATAAATTGATAGAGTAACATTTATTTTACCTCTTCTACATTTCTGGAAGATACAAGATCAAGAGCCAACTGTAATGTCTTTTTGCGAACTTCCAAATCAGGAGTACTCAAAACTCTCAGTATGTCCATAACCAAATCCTGAAATAAAACATATTTCATTTATAGGCATTCATTAACCAGCCTGGGAAAATTTAATTAAATTTTGTATAGAATTATAAGAATTTCCAAACAGCATTAAAAAGTATTACAAATGAAGAAATGGATACTGCAACTAGTGGCATATCACAGAAATTAGAACAAAACTGCTATTATTAAAAAGCAGACTTTGAGAGAGTAAGTTAAAATCAGAGATGTATGTTTGAAAATTTGTAAAATTCATTCTTGACCTGTTTAATAATCAAGGGGCCAACTACTGTCTTCATTTTTACAAGAGCAGACTGGTATTTGGAACCCCTAAAGCAGGGATGTCCAACCTTGGCAACTTTAAGACATGTGGACACCGGCTTGGGAATTCTGGGAGTTGAAGTCCATAACTCTTAAATTTGCCAAGGTTAAAAACCCCTGCCGTAAAAAGTGAAAGCTAAGAAGTTGCCTTGAATGGTGTCTACACCAGGTCACCAATTACATCATGACCCACATCTCATATTGTTACCTACTTCAAATTCTGACTCAAATATGTTAAGTCATGATATCAGAGTCCCAATGTTATGGTGAAAATTTTGTCCTTTGCCCTCCATTGAAGATTCCCATAGTGGTGTGGAATTTTGAGCAGAAAAAAAGCATACTTAGAAATGTGGTTCCTTTGTTCTCTTACCAAGGAAGCTTTTTTAAATTCAAAGCCAAAAATAAAAGACCACTTGAGGCGTCACTATATTCATTAACTCCATCCCTTTCTTCACAATATACTATTAGCATTTTATGTATTTACTTTAATTTAGGGGAACAAGTGTAGTTTGCATTGTACTTACTTGTAGTACTCTTTCATGGGAAGGGTGATCCTTGAGTTCAATCAAGCGATCCAGGACAATCAGCTTCACATTGTTGTCACTTTCTTTAATAATCAGGTCAATATAGCACTGAGCTGCTGCCTTAAGTTACAAGACAGAATTAAGGTATTTAAAACACTCCACTTTTGTGATACAGAAAAATAGTTAAAAATAAATCAATAAAATACAATCATTTAAGCAAGTACAGCAACTTGCAAAAGTGGAAAAATTTGGAAGTCTGTATTATATTTGTGTACATTTAAGCCCACTTTTACGGAAATAATCCAACTTGCAAAAGAGGAAAAACCAGGAAGTCCTATAACATTTGTGAAGATTTTAAACCCATTTGCATGTGAAAGAATAAAATGTTATGTTTCAAATATCTCTTTCTCTTAGATAAGCCATTTTAGTGACTTATTGAAACTCGTAAACCAACAATGGATGCTTTGGATTTTTTGAGTTCTCCTTTATATTTGTCATTATTTTCCCTGAAATGTTTTATTTTGATTCGGTGAGAATTTCTCACACAGCTTTTCAGTTTCATGCACAAGCCAAATAGTTCTACAAAGCAACCAGATTTCCCATTCTCCTGGCTCACAACACTTCCCAAACCTGGTTGATAAGCATTGTTAATCTGCATGAAGATTGCCTAGTCTCTAACTATACAATATTCACACATTTTAGTCAGATACAATGCACTGCGGTACCTTGACTGCAGTTGGAGCACTGGAAAGAGTGACTAATGTTCCTGCTGCTTCATATTTTACTGCAGGGCTCGATGATTGTAGTAGATTGTAGATACAGCGAATAAATCGGGCTCTTTCTGATGGATTAGCATGACAAACCTAAATTTGGAAATGAGACAGAAACATTATTTATGCAGAGTATTTTTTAAAAAATTAATCAATTCCTTATTTCCTTTATAACTCCATTAGAATGGAAGACCATCATCAGACTATCTCAAAATACTCTGTATTTAAAAAAATACAACTACAAATGTAATAAATTTCAAGCAGTACATTATTTCACAGCTTCCTATTCTTTTGGCAATACAACCCGCAATTGTGAATCATAAGAATTAAAAAACCTCAAGCACAATGTATAAACACCAAAAAGATTAATGGAAGATACAGTTATCCATAATCATAGATGGTAGAAACAGAATTGTCTTCTATTGCTTGGATCTAACTCTCTTTCCATCTAATAGTGTATACTCTGGCTTATGAAATTCTGTCACAATTTCTTCTCACTTTTCAAATTACTAAAAACTCATGACTGAATCTTATTTCAGTAGCTTGTTCAAAGGTAATTGATTTCATTGTTACAGATAGTTACAGATTGATTTGTTTCACTGTACCTTATAGATTAGTTCCACAATAACCAGCTGGAGAATATCACCAAATGTCTGGACTTGGTCAATGCAGGTACTCAAGTAATCTAAAGCTCGGTCCTTTAAAAAAAACCAAGTATGAATCTTGCTATACTGATTTGAAATTTAACACCACAATATTTCTTATACATAATCATATTTGACATTCCATCTATGAGGGACCTCCTAATTACTTTATCATAATTATTATTTATATAGTGTCTCCCAAATCTACAAAAAATAAAACAGCGATGAAAAGTATATTTGGGGGGAGGGGGTTGGGCGGAGGATTAGCAAACATGCATCATAGCACTGGAATTTTCTGGAATTTCTTTCAGGCTGTTGAAGGATTAGAGTTCAGGGATTTGCATAGTTTTAGATGATAGATGTGCATAATGAAACTTAGGCAAGCATGACTCAACATATATCAGTGAAGAAATAAAACTGAAGTGTTAATGTCAAGTTAACAACAATTATTAAATAAATATCAGAATTAGGTAGGCTATATTTTTACCTGATCAGCATGAATTAGCATCATGAAGGCATTTCTTTTGCAACTTGCATCTTTCTCATTCACCAAAAAATCATGGATCAGCTCAGGGGCATCAGGTATAAGATGTTCAAAGTTTCTTTAGGGAAAGAAAGCACCAATAATACTTAGAAGCAAATAAATTGGATAATACAACATACAGAAACCACATCCAATTGGGTGGATGAGGGAGTTAAAGAACAATTCTTCTTTCAAGGTATGTAATTTGCATTTCAACAAGATTTCCCAAATTGGTATAGCTGTATTTCTGTAAAAGCAAAAATTCACCAATAGTGTGAAACTGTAAAACTAAAATTGTATCCATGTTAGCAAACAACTAAAGATTAATAGGAGCTGAAAGTTTGATTGTTTGCCTTCTTATTTTTTAATGCACTGTTTAACAAGATACTAGCAAGTATGTAAAAGTGCTTCCTAAGACAATCTAATGACCAGCTGGCAAGTAAAATAATTTCATAAAGGTAATTTATGGCTTATGGCCTAAGCTTGGCATGCTAATTCTTTCAATTTCATTTTTCCGAAATTTACTTTACTTCACTTGCATCAAAAATTAAATAAACATTTCTCAAAATGAGAAACCCAAGACAAAGGCTTATACCAGCTTCCAGGCTAATAGGGATATATTGCTGATATACAATTTATTCGTTATATATTATCACCTACAATGTATGATCTACCCAGATGTGTATAATATAACTATATATATACAGAAACTACTATAATTTTTTTAAAAAAGATAACATCAGATTACTTTAAAGCATGACTACTATAAATCCTTAAATGTTAGTATTTTCATTATGCCTATGAATTTCAGCAGAAATGATACCTTTCATTTTAATATTTGCAATTTATAATCTCAAATATGTGCTAATGTTATGTGTCTATATATAAATGTGTCTATAAATGTGTCTATACACACACATACATGTATGTATGTATATATGTATGTATGTATGTATGTATGTATGTATGTACACACACACACACGCAATTACTCTGGGGTTTAATCTTTTTTGAGAAATATCAAAATAGATAAATGACTCCGTAATTAAGCCAACAAAATCAATTTCAAGAAAAAAAATAAACAAAAGTTTACCATTTAGCTTAACATTTAAGCTTAATATTTTTTTATGTGCAGGCTTTTTGATATCAGTCAATAGATAGAATTTACCTGTAAATAGTATAAATTGCAAGGACTGCATTTCTGCGCACATAACTATGACGATGTTCCAGACATGCCCGTATAGCTGGCATCAATGGCTCTAGCAGTTCTGGTTCTTTAAGTTTGCAAAGAAAACGGAGGGTGGAGCCTCTGATAAATTCATTTGGATGTTGAAGATCCTAAGACAACAAAATTAACAAAACATATTACAAGATTTATATCTAGTAGTGTCAGCTATCCAATTACTCTCTGCTTTGAATCCATTTTTAGATCTAGGCATGGCCCTATTCATATTGTTTTGCTTTATACATTTTAACATGCATTATGTTTTTAAAATATATATTAAACACTTAACCTAAAATATCCATTTTTTAATTCAATATTTCAATAAAAAAAGAAGAGTCTATTTTTTAGAGAATTAAAAACTGGCATAAAGTGACACCTGGCTGTTTTTAGCAAGATGACATCCTAAATGCATTTTGAAACCCAGATCACAAATCATGCAATTCTAAAGATTTAGCATATTTAAATGTATATGGCAATTGGTCTTATGCCCAGTAAACTTCTTTGTAGTTGCTCACTGGGAAACAGAAAATATTAATCCAATTAAAATATTTACCTTTCTGTAGGCATCACAAACAAGGATCATTTCTTGCAACAATCTACCATCTGGAGTAGTTTTGGGAACAATCTCCCAAAATACTAAAAGCAGTTTCTTTATGGTGTGGTCTTGAAGTGGCAGCACAAACCGAATAATAGTCATCAGAAGTCCTGGTAACTTTTCACCGTTTAAGATCATTATTATCACTTTTTTCAAGGCCTCGGTCTTCAATTTTACATCTCCTTTTTCTGTTAAATGAAGAAGTTTAAAATAAGCACAGCGTATGTTAGCAATGTATGTTATTTTGTGCTACAAATCACTTGTTTGCTTATTTTTACACTTCTTTTGGATATAACTATGTTATCAATAGCTCTTATACTTTGATGAAGGTATGCTAACTTCATAAAAAGCAGATGCTTTGAATGCAGAATAGATGGTTGCCTTTGAGAGCCATTTTCAGTGTGCCCAGAGCTTTGTTTTATGCTCAACGTATTTTCAAAATGCTCAAAACAGCCCATTTCATAATTTATGTAAAATTAAGTTCTGACAGTTGCTTAATCACCTGTCTCCCTACCTGTCTCTTTCATTCTAATTATTCAAACAACTCATGTTTCTAAAAGAACTTTTCCTTTCATTGCTCTTAGTTTATTAATCACTTCAGCTATTGCTATGTATTTTAAACTATTTATCTGCAATATCATTGCAACTTTGTAATATTTAAGAATTGTAAATTTTGATTGCTTAATTGCAAAATATGCTATTTAAATTTCTGATTTAAATACACCTAAAGCTATAAGCAATAGCCTAGGAAATGTTACTTACCCAAATCGGTCTTTAAATTTATTTCAGATGGTGGCTCTGAGTCCATTGGCACTATAATTAACGTGTAACAGACGTTCTCTGCAGCCGTCATTGTGGTTTTTTTGTACAATGCTTTCCCAATGTAAGTTCTTCCAAATAGGTCTCAGAAATTCTAGAAAATAAATCAACAGAGCTAATTATTCATTATGATTCTGCATGCAATTCAGTAGAAAATGACAACAAATTCTTCTGATAAAAGTTTGAATTTTCTAATTCACCAAAGCACACAACACAGAATTTTCATAAACAGAAGAACATTAGGGGAAAAAAAATAGGAATATTTAATCTCAGGGACATTCTACATTTTAAAATAGTCACTTTGGTTAAGACCACACACAGTATAAAAATAAAGTTGACCATGTTTCACTAAAATAACCAGGCATGATTTCAAGTTACACACCTAAGTACATAAGGTACACATTGTTGCTACTTTTTCCAAAATCTAACCTAGTATCAAACCCAGAGGACTGCCAAAACAATTTCTTCAACCCCCCGACCCACCTGCAGTTTTAAGAATTATTTCAGTGGTTCTTAAATTGTTTGACCCAGTTACCCTTTTTTTCTAGCCTCAAATAGTGTCATTATCCCCAAAATAAATCCAAGAATATGTTGTTTTATAAAAGCATCTTGGCAGCAACAGTCCCATACTGGATCCTAAATTCACAAACAAGTGACTCTTCTCTTAATGGTTTAGCCAAACCACTTCAGTGCCCCCCCCCCCAACTCATCCTATGAAGATGCAGACACAGAGGTAACACAACTATGGTGGCAAGACAAGATGGGGAACTCTCTGAAATAACTCCTTCAAAAAGACACAGTGCTTAGAGCCATAGCTTCAGAGAAACACTTCATATATTGTTGCTCTTAATGGTTTTACATAGTATCACAAACACCTGTCTGATCTACAATAGGTTCAAATAACCATGGAAATTGTACATGCACTAAATCTTTGTTGGTTTATCAAGTGACATGCTTAAACATAAAATTCTAAGAAGTTTTTGAATCAGAAACAGTGTACCTATAGAATATAAATAAAACCATAATGGAGTTTATCCATACTAAATGTAAGTATTTTGGTGCCTTTCAACTAAGACAATTAAGAAATATAATTAGATATATAAACAACATTCAATGGATATAAACAAAAGTTAGCATTAGATCCTGTATGGATTGGATGATACCATTCCTTCTGACACAAATTAATATATAGTTATCTGAAATCCACACAAAATCACATTTGGAAAATATGGAGATAATTTTTGCCTTATCCTCTAATGCACTCTTTTAAAATTTAAAGCTACATTTGTTTTATAAAAAGGATTTTGTAGAATCAGAGACTTACCGTAATTATGTTAAAATCTGTTATTGTAAAAAGATAGGTCACAAATCCTAACCTGCTTTTAGAGCAGTCAATCTTTATCTTTTCCTTCTAAATCTTTGGGACACAATCATTGAAAATATTACCTCTAAAGAACAGGTATATATCTACTTTGACCCTTGTCAGTATTATGTAACCTTTGTACATCAAGTTTGATAGTCTTGAAAATCTTCAATAAACTATTGGCAGCTGAGTTCAGATTTGAAATTAGTCAATCTTGTAGAAGTTAACACAGCAAAAAGTTTTGAAAAATCCTCTAGTGAAAGATAAATTCATTCAAATCTGGTCTCTTTTATTAGCTACATTATCAATGTTTCTTAATAGATAAACTTTATACAAATACGACTGGATAAAAATATCAATATTTAAACATTGAATTTCTCTGTATGATTCCATACACATTCATATTTTTACTTTCTTTCCTCTTTTTTATCTTTGTCCCTAATCTATTTTTATTTTTTACATTTATTATTTTAATTCTGCATTTTTCTGGTCCTGTAATTATATTTATTTAGTAAATGATTTTATAAACAAATAAAGAACAAATAGTTATTTGGACCAATCATATTAATAAAAGATAAACAGAAAAAATGGATGAAAGTTCAGATATTGAGAAGTTCCAAATGAATACTATAATTCTTGTGAATATTCAAGAAAAAATAATGTAAATACCAGTACATCTGAAATGCCAGATAGTTTACAATTGTTTGTAAAATGCGATGTCCCCTAAGCTTTAGAAAGTAAACCAAATTTTTGTTATTAAAATTTCCAAATTGAAGGGTTTAAATATTCTTTTCTGGAGAAACTATGTTGACAACTAAATAAAACAGATGGATTATAAATATTTCACATGTTTATACATAGAAGGGACAGAGAGAGAGAGAAACACACAGAGAGAATTGAAATATATGACAAATGACCAAGAATGATATGCTGGGTTGTTCTGAATGGCTCAATATAAATCTGATTACTGTGAGAATTCCATGAACATACAAGAAAAGACTTGATGCTGAGGGTTACTGGAAAAATCCCAAATTAAAGGGGTCAATAAAATACGATAATGGCTTTCCTATAATTTTATAACAAGGCTGCAGTTAGGCTTTGATCAGCCCATCTAAAAATGGCATAATACGAATTCGACTTAATATAATACATGTTTGCATTTAAGATTCAAGCTGGGTTTGTGGCATGACCCATGTTTTGTCATTTTTTATCATTGTGATTTGTACCTTCTTTAAATAAGTTATAAACAATAGGTTATACAGATCTTTATATAACAGATAAACAATAAACTTCCATATAAACAGTAATCATTTTCAAATCAAGCACTATTCCAAAAGACTAAATGGATATATCTGCATACAGTAGCTTTCTTTGTGAACAATATGGGAGACATTTGCTATTGCATTCTTCCAGGCTATTTTTATTCCCCCAACATCCCAATATATGCTAGTGGACTTCTGGGCTTTCCTGAAGATTTCCCACCCAAGTACTAACCAGATCTGAGCCTGCCTAAGCTTTTGGAGATCAGCTAAAAGTAAGCTACATCCTGCTAGCTGGCTGGAAAAGGCAGAACCACTATTTATGACTTTGAGAGACAGTTAAAAATTAATAACATTTATAATAGAATAGAATATAATTCTTTATTGGCCAAGTGTGATTGGACACATAAGGAATTTGTCTTTGGTGCATATGCTCTCAGTATACATAAAAAGACAAGATACATTTGTCAAGAATCATAAGATACAACACTTAATGATAGTCATAGGGTACAAATAAGTAATCAGGAAACAATCAATATCAATATAAATTGTAGGGATACAAGCAACAAAATTATAGTCATGCAGTCATAAGTGGGAGGAGATTGGTGAGAAGACTTAATAGTAATAGTACTGCAGCCTTAGTGAATAGTTTGACAGTGTTGAGGGAATTATTTGTTTAACAGAGTGATGGAGTTTGGGGAAAAACTGTTCTTGTGTCTAGTTGTCCTGGTGTGCAGTGCTCTATAGCAGTGTTTTTCAACCTTTTTTGTGCAAAGGCACACTTCTTTTCATGAAAAAAATCACGAGGCACACCACCATTAGAAAATGTTAAAAAAAATTAACTCTGTGCCTATATTGACTATATATAAGGTGTTTTTCCCACGGCACACCTTACACTATGTCACGGCACACTAGTGTGCCGCGGCACAGTGGTTGAAAAACACTGCTCTATAGCATTGTTTTGAGGGTAGGAGTTGAAACAATTTATGTCCAGGATGCGAGGGGTTAGGGTTAACTGCCTAGATCAGTTTGGAGGATTTACTTTAAGTTCATTTAGCAAATTCCCTCCTTAGTGGCGTTCAAAGGCAGGATTGACAGATCCATATCAACCTGGGGATGCTCTTAATCTGAGCTCCTATAGCGAGTCGTTTGATGTGGTGGTGAAGGGCACAAGGTTACAAACCAGGATCCTGAATTTAAAGTCCTGCTTTAGTCACCAAGCCAGCCAGACCTTGGGCCTAGCCCTAGAAAAGAGGCAATGGCAAGCCACGTGTGAAAAATACGGCCAAGAAAGCTGTAGTAGGTCCAGTTTAGGTAATTGCTAATTGCCGGGTGTGAAGACTGACTGGAAGGCACAGGAAAGGTGAGGAAGAACAAGAAAACAGTAACAGGGTTGGAAGGGACCTTGGAGTCATCTAGTCCAACCCCCTGCTCACACAATAGACCCAATCCCCTGCTCACACAGTAGATTCAAACCGCCGGCAAGCTAAATGTCTTAGCCACTGAGTCACCGTCAGCCACTATAAAAAAGCCGGGTAGATGGTTGACACTGATGGACCCTAAGGGGCTCTTTCGCCTGCTCTCTAGTTGGATGGCTCCTCCTTGGCCCAGCCGTTCAGAGGACCAAACACCACCGGTGCTTTCGGAGGAGCCCCAAATGAATCCCTGGAAGGCAGGGAAGCTCCAGCCCCAGCCGAGCCATTCAACATCCCGCTCTGCCTTTTCATTCATTGGGAGGGAAATCCCTGAACCCGCCGTTCTGTTATTCCTAACGGGGATAACCTCCCCTCCCGATCCCGCTTTGGCAACGGAAGGTCCGCAGAGCCCACCCTTGCCACGACAGGCCGGTCTGCTTTAGGCCCCGCGGGAAGATCCGAAAAGATGGCTCTTCGGGAAGGGAAAGTCGGGTGCAGACCGGAGAGGAAGAGAAAGGAAGAAACGGAGGTGGAGGTGGCAGCGGAGTCCTTCGCCCGGAAAGCCCGCTGCTTCGGCCCGCTGCCTGCCTGCCTGCAGACATCCATTCGGTGTTACGCGGCCACTTCCTCGGCCCTCCCAGCCCTCGGCAAAACCGGTGGGCGCCTCAGCTTACCTCAGCCGAGGGACCCCGTGGCAGAATCGGAGGCGGCTGTGGAACCCGGGCGGCAGCGGCGGCCGCCTCTTCCTCAATGGGCCCCGTCGCACAGTTCCCTTCCCCGGTTGTACTTGGCACCGCCGCCGCCTGCTCCAGCTGACGTGGAAGCCCTAGGCGCACAGGCCACCTCGCGACTACGGCGGCCCCATCAGGACACGCCTCCTCGGTTAGCAAAAACGCTCCCTGGCTTCGGAGAAGGCCGTCCTCTTCTGGCGAACTTCGAGCGCCGCGCGACTCGGGGCGGAAGCAGGGAGAAAGGCCGAAGAGGGCGAGTGTGGGTGCGCCCTTCAAACACGTGCCTGGGAACTTAGTTTATGTAGTTTACGGGGATACTTGGTTTTTTTTTTTTCAAAACTTGCCCACAGGACTCGCTAAGTTAAGCACAGTTTGAAGTACCTAACCTAGTTACTTGTTGTCAGAAAATTGCTTTTTTTCAGGAGGCAAGTGGGCTTTGTTTTTTTGCTTTTGAAGACGTTTTGCTTCTCATCCAAGAAGCTTCTTCAGTTCTGACAGGATAGTGGAGAATGGAAGGATCTACATTCCTTGCAGACAGTTGGGTCTTTTGCATCCTTTAAGACAGTGGTAGTCAACCTGGTCCCTACTGCCCATTAGTGGGCGGTCCAGCTTTCATGGTGGGCGTTAGGGGTTTGCTGTAACTCTGCTTTATAAATTTTATAAAGTAGTTACTTCCCTACTTTATAAATCACCATTACTGTGGAACCGGTGGGTGGTTTGAACATTTTACTACTAACAGATACAAAAGCGGGCGGTAGGTATAAAAAGGTTGACTACCCCTGCTTTAAGAGGGTAGTTGAAGCCTTGGAGGTTTATGTATGTCCTCAAGGTCACCTGAGTAGTTCTCCTAGTTCTTGTAGTCTGCCATTTTTTCTCCCTCCATTCCTACTCCCACAGCATTCACAGGGTGTTGACTCCAAATTGTATAGCTAAAAGTCTGTAGATTCTCAAGTCATCCAGGTCATGGTCATCCCAAAGGTGCTTTTTCAGGAGGCAACTGGACTTTGAGAATCTCTAGACTTCTGGTCACTTGTTACACATTTTCCTTGGAATCTGTTAAACGCCCCATTTCAATTGTTTACATTCTGGCTACTTAGGTAGACCATTAATATAAACCTGGCTTATTAAAGAACCAGATTTTCCTTAGCAAGATAGTTGCTCCCCCCTCCCCCCCAAGAAATTTCACACGTTAACATCCTCACCTTTTTAAAAAATGTCCTACGGATACAGAATGTGTGTATAAATGTATACCTAAGTATAGAGAGCCAGTTTGGTGTAACGGTTAAGTCACCAAGCTAGAGGACCCTGAACTGTGTTAGGAATGAAGCCAATTGTGTGACTTTGGACAGTCACTCCCTTTTAACCCTAGAAAGCAGGCAGGACTAAAAACTGGTCCAGGCAGTTGCCAGAATTAAATGATCCAAAAGCCCAGGTGTGAATTCATTTGAAAGGTTACAGTATAAATTATCTGAAGTCTATTTGGTTCTTTGTTTTACAGCAGTCAAGAGTTCTGTCAGACACCACGAAATGTGTTAAAAGCTTAATTTCCAAACCCACGGATTTTACAAACTTTAATCCACTTTTTTTTACAGCAAGTTTTGAGATTGTTCTACCTCCACACTTTATGCTTGAAGCTCTCCAACACTCTGATATAACTTAGTGGCTCTTAAGATCAGCCACATTTATTGTTTCCCCTTTTTTATTCCTTGCTGGAAATAATCCTTGAAAATTGGATCAAACTAATTTAAAGAAATTCACAGAGAAAGATATTGCAAGAGTCCATCTCCCTATCAATTCTGCACATTCTTGATGAAAATCTTTCTCTGTGAATTTCTTTAAATTAGTTGGATCCCATTTATATTTTCAATTGGTTTGATTGCTACAAATAATTACACATTCTAATTTAAATTGGTATGAGATTCAGCATATGTAAATACTGACATAGGTACAGGATTCCATAAGCATGGGATACAATGATATTGTATACATTTTTTATTTACGAAATACAAAAAAGTTTCACAATTTTTCATACAAGAAAAATTTATTTCAGAGATGTTTTTACAACAAAAGCAACATGCTTTTTCATATAAAACAGTATTTCAGTCTTTTCTAGAAAATGACATCTTTTCTTAATAGAAGTGGTCAGTTATTTTTTTCTGCCAACATAAAGGTTTTTTTTTTTTGGTAATTCATTTTAAACACTGGTGTTTTACCACTACATTATGCCTTGAATCTTAAAGTTAAGTTACCACAATACAAATAATGCTCCTCGCACTATTCTCTCTGACGTAACCCACGCTATGCAGTGCAATTTAGTGCTCCATTGGTTCCTCAGGCTTTTCTGCTGCCTCTTCAGCAGGCTGAGCAAGCTTAAGAGAGTAGAAGAAATAAAGAGAAGTCACTGGAGGAAAAAAAATCTCACAAAATATTCTACAAATACAGTGTGTCTCAATATTCAGTGTAGTAATAAATAGGCAGGGAGATTTTCAATACTCCACTTTTCCTGCTTTAAAAATCCAATACAAATCAGTGGCAAAAATTGGATTGATATACAGTATTTTTAAATGTTTTGTTTCTTTTGTATATTTCATACGACAGCCCAATCTCTAGAAAAACCAAATATTCATGTTTTCTACACTTCTTGATTGGCTCATTTATTTGTCATACCTTCAAAGTTATCATTTGTTATGTATGTAGGTATATATGTATGTATGTATGTATGTATGTATGTTTATGTGTAAGTATAATATATAAAAATAATCATTTGGTCTGTTAAGCAAAATGTCAAATTTATTTAATATGCCAATGGAATGTATATATGGAAAGAAACTAATTCTCCCACTTTTTCTAAGTCTGCTTGGGACATAGGAAAAGAAAAAAAAAGGGAAAATGTGTTTGCATTACACTAAGAGGATTCATTGAAAGAGCAAAAGAGGAATACATTTTTTGCAGAAATTAAAATCCAAAACTTACTAGTCAGGTTAAAAAGACTTAAAAGCTTACTGGTCAGGTTAGGGACCTTTTTAAAGTTTTTTTTTAGTGTCAAATGAATACATTATCATGAGGAGAGCATTAAATAGGCAGAATATCACACTCCGAAGGCATTGTCTTATATCACCAGTCATCTAATCTCAGAGGACGGGGCAATCTAGCAAAAGTCCTCAGAATGGAAAGCCTCATGTGATCCACACACACACACACATCCACATCCACACACACACACACACAGGTCTTGGCGTATTTGGGTCTTTTCCAGTGTAAGATTGAGAGTATCTTGGCGATGTTTCGACGAGGTCCCACTTACCATCTTCAGGCTGGTGCCTTCGGTTTCGTGCTTGTGCGAGCAAAGCGTGATCGGAGCTGCCATCTTTCTATAAATATTGGTGGGAGTATGTGGAGTGCTGGCTTTGTTGCTATAAGCAGGTTGGTTGGCTGTGTTGTTACATCTTGATTAGTTGATGGAGTTGATGTATGCAGATTAGTCGGCTGTTTCATAACATCCTGTGTGGCTGAGGTACTAGCTGTGTGCCCATTAGTCTTTTGTGTTGTAACAACCTGGGTATTGGGCTGTGTGATGACATCCTAAGCTCTAGTGTAGTAATATCCTGAGTCCTGTGCTGCAACATCCTGGGAGGTTGCGTTGTAACCCATTTATTCCACCAGTTTAGCAAATGGTTTCCGGTCCGATCGCTTCAGAAACACGTGTCGTGTCAGGAAAGCAATGCAAGAAACGTGTTTTGGAGGGAAAGGACAAGACCCAAATATGCCAAGACCTGCATACCTGTACCCGTGAAAATCTACGAAAACAAAGATAGATAGATAGATAGATAGATAGATAGATAGATAGATAGATAGATAGATAGATAAAGATTTGCCTACCTTTCTCTGTGGTCTTTCTTCCAGCCCTTCCAGGAATGGTGCTACATCATCATCATCATAAATTGTAAACTCCATTTCTTTACCAACAATCCCAACAGAAACATTCTGTAAAATGACAATTTTTAAAAAATTGAAGGGGGGGGGGAATTGTGGGAAATTAGAAGAAAGGAACATTATTTATTATATAAAAGTGGAATAAATATCTAATAAAAAATCTAGTAGCAAAATTAGCTGAGGTTGTTGAGAGTCAATGTTCAGGAAACTGGACTGTAATATAATCTTCTACCACTGGTCTATAGTAAACTCTCATCTTCATGGACCATGGAACTTTTTCTGATAAAGCCATCTTTTTCTGCTTATAAGGAACCCACTCTTAGAATTGTTTTGACTATCATAATCAATGTTATTTGTAACTAAAAAAACATAGTTCCTGGTATGTCTTTATTGTATTGAACTGGTGAACCTGAAGTCATATAAACCTCATTATATTTTGCAAGATACTGGAAGTGACAGCATTAGAACTGTGGACAGACTTCTACTCTTAAGTTCCATTTCAAGAAATACTGAATCAGAAGTAACCATGTTTAAATTTTTAAGCTTGCTTAGAATCCTCTTCAGATATACATTTCCTTCATATTATATATTACATAGAGTTGGTGACTCAAATTATTTTAATGTTCAAAGTGCATCTCTCCATACTCTTATATGTACATGTTTAATTACAAATTTGGATTCTGCTTCACAGAAATAAATGTGTCACTCTTCCACAATGTTTATAACTACTATTACCTGTTTTTCAGACCGATTGAATTGCAAGAAAAAACAATTTCAGCCTTGCCTTAATAGTTAGATCTTGTTCAGCAGGAAGTGTCTCTCTCAGAGCACGCAGTCCATGCTTCACTAACTCATTCAGATTACCTGCAAAGTAACGTTTATGACTAGTTCAGAAATGCTGTATATTCTGGGCTGACTTGGTTAAACACACTTTCAACTTCATCACACGTATAATAGACAATAACTGTTCAGCAATCAATCACACACACACACTGTGTATGTGTGGAGAGAGAGCAGAAATCTTTAAAAATATAGTATACTTCAAAGACACTGCACTTACAGTCAGAAAACTCGGTCATGTGTCGTTCCAAGTAAGTTCGAGCTGATTGGGATCTTGCACCAATGGACATTGCTTTGCAATCAAAATAATTTGCAGAAGGGCAAGTCTGGAAGATATGGGGGCCCATATCCT